CTATTTAAAGAAGCTCCACCACACATCATTATTCGTAATCTACCACCTAATGCAATTTGATTCAAACGATTAAATATTAATCTAAATTATATTTTCAGAAAGAAAAATTCTTTTATTAAAATAATAAATATTTACTTATTTAAACGTGGAGTATTAAGACCTTTTTCTAATTTTTTCACTTTTCTGTTATATGCAATACGAAATAAAGAACGTCGAAAATAATTTGATTGATTCACTTTTTCATTAATAGCTTTATGAATACGATCAAGAATTGCCTATTCATTTTGAAATATAATATTTAGAAAAAAATAAAATCTATTCATACTGGTACAGTAATCATCAAGTGTGGACGAAGTATTTGTAAATCTCCTTTTGCTCCTTGTTTTATTCCTGTTGATTGATCTGTTAATGTTTGTGGAGATGAATAACCAGATTTAATACCCAAATAATACATGCAAATTTCTTTAAAAAAAAATAAAAGATAAATTATTTTTCAACTAATATGAAGAAACAAACCACAACAAAGTTCAAGAATATGAGCTAATGGTAAATAAGCAATATATATATCAGTATCAACATTGACCATTGAAAGTAAACGTGATTGTTGACCAGTCATTCCAGCAATTATATTTTCATGTCTTATCAAAACACCTATTTATTAGATCGAAAATAAATTAAATAAAGTTCAATAGAACAGAAGTAACCTTTTGGTAGTCCTGTACTACCACTAGTATACATAATAACAGCAGTATCTGTTTCGGCAGGCCGTTGTTTTAAAATATCTTCATCTAAATAAGTAATAATGATAAGAAGAAAAATTGAATTTAAATTCAAACCAATCAATGCATTGCTTCCATTTAATTCTAATTGATCTAATGAAATAAATTGAATATTATTTTTAGTTTCAGGTAATTTAATTGATTCTGTTTTTAGAATCGGTGGAAAATAAATAATATAACGAACTTCTTCTGTTTCATCTGAAATATTCTAAATAAAATATTCTTTTTTTTTTAAAAATAAATCTAAATATCGAAATCAAAATTACTTTAAGTTTAGGAATTAATTCATATGATGTAATAACAATTTTAACTTTTGATTGATTAATTCCATATTTAATAGCATCTTCACCTAATGTTGAATAAAGTGTAACAAGAGTTAAACCATGCCGAAAAGCCGAAAATGCTGTTAATAACCATTCGTAACGTGTTTCAGAATAAATTAATATTTTATCACCTAATGTAAGATTAAGTGATAACAAACCTCGACCAATATTTTCAATACGTTTATATATTTGTCGAAATGTTTGAAATTTATATTCACCTAATATAAACTAGACAAAAGAAAATATTTTTATTTATTAAAAGAAATATTTTTCTCAAAAAAAAAACCTTTTTAAAAATTTTTCCATTTGTTTGTTGTTCATCTTGAATATCAAGAATTTGTCGAACACCAAATGTTTCCTTCTCAGGATGATGTGCAAATGTATAATCAGGTATATCAGCTAATGTTTTAATAGATTCATTTGGTCTTGTTTGAAGATTTTGAAGAACTTCAATAGCACGATATGCTGATTCATATTCTGATGGTTCAACTCTTGCTGCACGAATTCTTTCATTTGTTTTTCCACGTGTCATTTTTTAATCTTCAACAAAATATTTTATATTTTATACTGTAAATGATGATCTTATATAAAACTTACTTTGAAAGAAGAAAGAATTTATTTTAACATACTTGGCAAAAGATATGAAAAGTCTTATTTATTAAACATTACTTATCTCACTTTACTCTTTTTTTATCAAAAAAGAATGCTGTGAGAAAAAATTTAAATAATATATCAAGTAGAAAATTATCTTGACAAGCGAAAAATAAAAATAGAATGCATTTATTAGTTTTTATATAATAAAGTTGACTATTTCTCATATATTTATCTTTCATTGTTATGTACATCTCTTGCTAGAATATATTATAATAACAATTCTTCTTTTATTTTCTTATCATATAATTTAGTAAATACTGATAATAGACAACACTGTAAAAAATAACAGTATAATATAAAAATCTTGTCTTTTCTTCAACATTACATAAATCTTGCAAGGGTTTATAGACGTTGCATATACGGGTGGGTGTGAGTGAGGGTGGATAATGAGAAGAGATACTCACACTCACCCTCAATTCTGTTGCTACTAGTATATAGACACCTGTATGTTTATTCTTAATGAGTGATTCATAGCTGTTTTTTTTGTAGAGCATTTTAGGTCAAGATTCGAGTATTTTTTGAATAAATTCATATACAACTGACGTTAAGCGGATCAACATTGGACTAAGATAGAACTCGAAGAGCTTCATACAATAAATTATTTACTTTTCCCATCTTGAGGGTGTGGATATTCTAACTATCTACGCTAACATCCTTAAGATAATTCAACAAATTTTTACCTTAAAATCTTACATTTTCAATAGTTTTAATATGAAAACATTGGCAAAAGTCGTGAAAGCATTTTGACAGTGAGTTATAGTTTTAATACATTTTTTTACATCTATCGTCCAAAGAAAGCTTCAAGCATGCGCGTGGAAAAGGAGAAGAATTAATTTAAAAAAATCAGTGATTCATATACTATATTATTTTCATCTTGAGAATAGAGAATGAAAAATGCATGAGTGAAAAAAGTTTTTATACAATCGATTTGTTAATGTAAAAGAGTCTGATTAGGTCATCTATCATATTTTATTTTTTCATACAAAAATAAAATAAATATAAAGATCTTGACATGAACAAATTTTGTTCGTCGAAAAGTGATGAATACAATTAACATCACGAATCACAATGTCCACTTGACGAGATATTGTAAATAATTTTATAGCTCGATCTAGAAAAGGATACACAGAAATTACTAAGAATGATATAGAAAAACAAATAACTTACGATAATAACCATAAACACCAAGATTTTTTTGTAATACATGAGTAATCCATCTTGAATTATGGACATGTCCATATTTATTTAGTTTAGCTGATATACGTTCACCCTCAACATAGATTTTTTTGATTGAGCACAAGAATAATCATGAGCTGTGAACTTCTACAACAATTAATACATTATTTTCTTTAGAATTTAACTTTCTATTAGAAAATTCTCTTACCACATGGTAATTCTAACGATGAATGTACATTACAAAGAAGAATTCAATCAGATATTGAAGTATTTTTTTATTTGAAAGTAATAACTTCATTCGTTCATAGATTTCTTTTGATAAATGAGATTGTCGACAATTGTGTTTACCGGATAAAAGCGTCACAAAAGTTAAAAATAAACTATTAATTAAGAAAAAAATTCTATATTAAAAAAGAGTCACTATAGATTGTTGAAAATGATACGTTACATTTTTCATGATCTTCTATAAGTTGTTTTGCTTCATCAAATAAACATAAGATTGTACTGATAAATTTTTCTATTTTATTGGAGATTTCAATTCATCCCTTTGAAACTTGTGCGTAAGATTTGAACTTCAAGTGGTATACGTTATTGAGATGTTTGCGAACTTAAGAGGAAAGTCTTAGGAACAAGCAAAATATTGTCCCCTATTTTTACTATTGTATATCTGCCACATCGTGGTATATTATCCACAATATCTGTCTGATTATACTTCTTCACAAGTTTATAAGTACGATATTTTATCATCAGAAAATTCATTTTGAAATAGTTCATTTACTGCTTGATATGTTCTTTTAGACATTTACTATTATTTGAAAACAAAGATTCTTGAGGGTGTGGGTGTAGGCGATAGACATAGCAGTTTATAGACATCCTCACACCCACATCCTTACTAAAATGTCATCCGACTACATGTGGTTGGGAGCAACAAATGATTAATATTCTTCGCATCTGTATTTATATCCACTTTTCTTTAATAAGAATACCTACTCAGTTGTTAAAATAATGATCTGTCTTTTATCAACTATAGCGCTTGTTGAACAATCGCCATGTAATCTAACTTCGAGATATTAATATAACTCATATATTATTTGATGAATAATTACATAGTTTAATTACAGATAAAAAAATTTATGATTCAGTTCAAAAAAGAAAATGTGTTTTTGTCCATATCGATTAATAAAGCTCCGCACTATTGAGATAAACACCGCTGTACAGTCCACCAGTAACTAATACTTTTCCATTTGCTAATGTGGATGCTATGTGAATTTCTCGTGCGATACTCATGTTTGATGTAGTTGTCCAAGTACCTGTTGATGGATTGTATAATTCAGCACTATTGAGAGCAGCATCGTGGAATTCACCAGCAACACGGTTAGATCCACCAGCAACTAATACTGATCCAGTTGCTAATAGGGATGTTGTGTGATGAGCTCTTGCGTCATTCATGCTTCCTGTAGTTGTCCAGATGCCTGTTGATGGATTGTACAATTCGGCACTATCGAGATAAACATTACTGTTCTGCCCACCAACAACTAATATTAATCCATTTTCCAATGTGGATGTTGTGTGAAAATATCGGGGGGTACTCATGTTTCCTGTAAGTGTCCAAGTGCCTGTTAATGGATTGTACAATTCAGCACTATTGAGATAAACACCATTTTTTCCACCAGCAACTAATACTGATCCATTCGCTAATGTGGATGCTGTGTGATCTTCTCGTGCAACATTCATGCTTCCTGTGATTGTCCAAGTGCCTGATGATGGATTGTACAATTCAGCACTCTTGAGAGCAGCAGCACCGTTAAATCCACCAGTAACTAATATATATCCATTTGCTAATATGGATGCTGTGTGATCTCCTCGTGCGGCACTCATGCTTCCAGTGGTTGTCCAAGTGCCTGTTGATGAATTATACAATTCAGCAGTATTGACAGAACCAACAATATTTCCGCCAGTAACTAATACTAATCCATTTGCTAATGTGGATGCTGTATGCCAATATCGTGCGACACTCATGTTTCCTGTGATTGTCCATTCTAGATAAGGCAGAAAAGTGAGAAAAAATGTTGTTGTTAAAATAACTTGCAATCTCTCATATGTATTAATTGTCTATCACCTGATGACAGATTAAGTGATTTTCAACCTTCAATAAACTTCTCTTTATTTTCATGATTAAAATAAAATCCATTATAAAATGTTAAATCAAATTACTGAAAAAAATGTTATAAACGTTTTCCTAATTTCTGTGAAAGTCATTCTACATTGTTCAACATAGTAGAAACAAAATGTACTTTCACCATGCTGGATGTGACTATGAGTAAGACAATATAATTCTCACATCGTTTTCATGAGAAAATCAGTACACGAAGGATTAATTGATGATGATGATGATGATGATGACGAAAGGCGTTTTTTCTCGAGCTTGAAGTTTGCATTTTATATTACTACGATATTTTCTTGAATTACTCAACTCTATACAAATACGACATAAGATATGAGATTAGATGTTAATAGACATATTCAATGTCAGTATTATGTCAGCTAGTACCTCAACGTATAGAATTATTTCAATCATCTTGAGAGTGGATGGTTGTTATTACAGATTACTTAAATGAGTATAGATTAAATTAAGCCATTAAAAATGGTCCTATCTCGACTTCTGATAGGAAATGTTCCCTAAAGTTGTCTATTTCGATGCCGATCATTCAATAGCTCAGATGAAAACTTTTAGATATCATCATTTCTCTTAATTATCGTCTGAATCACTACAAATGATTTGATATAGTACTCACTCGGTATTGTCGTTGATGTTGACGTTGACGTTGTTGTTGTTGATGTTGTTGTTGACGTTGTTGTCGGTTCTATTTTGCAATAGAGAGTTTAAAATGAGACTAAACAATTAGATAGAAGTCTACTCCTAATATCTTACTTCTTCTCTAGCTATTATATCTACTTTAAATGTGAGTGCACTATGATAGAGAATAAATCTTTATGCGGTTTACATTACAATTGTACTCCTACGATCTTTACTTTAATATTGAGGGTGTGGATGTAGATAGTAATGAGCATAAAATCTACATCTACATCCTTAGCAATACAGAATATCTATGCTTTATGCGCGAGATCTGGAAAGTTTCAATAAAAATAAAGAGAATACATGAGTCAAACGGGATTCGTAATATTTAGGATGGAAATGCACTACGATTTTGAAATATTCTTAAAAGCTATACAACAAAATATATGTGTAGATTTCGTAGAAAATGTTTTGACTATATTTTTTTTCTGTTCTATTTATACTTAAAAATAGAGTATATAGTGATATAAAACAAACAAAAAAAAGTGGATTTCGTTGTATCAATGTCAACAAAACCACGCGGGCTCTGATCCTGGTGACAAATAGCGAATGTGGCGATTATTGCATCTTCGTTTACTCTTAAGATAACGATTGAACCACTCATGACAACCTCACTGTACTTTTAATGTAACTTTTAGTTAGATATAGAAAAATGTTGGGTACGAAGCAACTACTTATATCTGACTTAAAAGTACTATTTAAGGAGACCGGAAAACGTTACTCTGAAGCTTACCTGAGTGCTGCGTTGTGATCGTAGCTGTTGTTTGTGTTGAAGTTATGGTCGGTGTTACTAGTGGTGTTGTTGTTTGTGGTGATGATGTTGCGGGGGTGGTACTAGTTTCTGATTTATTCGGTGCCAAGACGACGAAGTTTAACAACAAAGCAAGAATAACAGCAAAAACTATTAAAATAGTAACGAAAATGCCGATTATTTTGAACCAACGGTAATGCCACCATTTGTGTGGTCCATTATTTACAGTAACACGCTCTCTGTAAACTTGATTCGTGTGCATATTATGTTTCAGATGAAAGTTAAACGCAAAGAAAAAACAGACTATTGTGTGAAGGTACTTTTTGTTTGTCTATGACTCACGTAAATAACAGAAGATAACTAATATTATCTGTAACATCAAAGGTGTTGTTATTCTCTTATTTTATTATAACAAAATTTTATATATGAGCCTGATAGTGCAAGACCGTGCTCTATGCCTAAGTTTTCTTAGATTCTCGTCCTTCTCATCTTAATATTATTTTTTTTATTTCGGCTATACCATAGGCCAAGGTCTACCTTTTTTACAAGGAGAAGTCAACAGACTCCGAATTCGGAATGAATGTTGTGAGGCTCTTGAAATGATGGAGTTCGGTCGAAAATTTTCGAAGTATCGAAACACAATCCAGATTTTGCTTGGAATGGTGTGGATGATCAAGACAGTAGTGACACCCACATATACATTGATGATTATATAAACATGATGAAATTTGATCGACAATCGATTGACATAATGAACACATATCATTTGTCTTCATTTCTTCTAAAAGTTTTAAACTTTTCAATGGTTTACTATTTATATTATGTCCTTTCATAATATATTTCTTCTCGATTATTTTAAATAAAATTTTAGCATTTTTAATATCAGTAAATTTCATTGACATAATTCTTACTGAATTTTAAATCTTATTCCTTTTTTCGAAATTCTTAGGCATTTGTTTAAGAATTTTTGTTCTTATTTTAGTGTCTCGGTAATTCTAAAGTCGAGCACATGCATTGAAAATAATTGTATAACTGATATTATTAAGATTTAAAATTTATTATAAATAATTTCACGAGGAAAAAGGCAGGCACTCAGTACTTATCTCCTTGAAATTTGTGTGTGAGATTTGAACTTCAAGTGATATACGTTGTTGAGATGTTTGTGAACTTGAGAGGAAAGCCTCAAGGACAAACTAAATATTTTCTGCTATTTTTACTATTGGAGATCTGCACGCCGTAGTATATTATCCACAATATCTGTCTGATCATACTTCACAAGTTTATAAGACAGATAAACTCTCAAAAAAGGATATACTATGAAGATTCAGTGAGAAAATGCAAACAACCATAAGCAGAACTGATAAATAAGTATAACCAACAGCGTAGAAAGAACAGAGATTTATATCGCACTCACTATCCATATAAAGTAGCAGTGTATAACTTTATCTTAGTAAAATATGAGTTTTGTTTATCATACATTCTTTTTTTTCGTATCTATAATAGAGGATACAAATTTTATTGAAGTCATTAGTGATATTTCCAAAGAGTTGTCTCAATTTATTAACAAAAAATATCAGTTCATTTGATCTTACTGTGTCAATAATATGTCAGCTAAAGATTTTTATTGATATTCAAAGCAAAAGAATTCATTTTATTCTATTCTGTGTGGTTGAAATGTCGTAAAGGTCACGTACGAATAATATAATATGTGCATATTCATATCAATTAAATGTTTTTTCTTTTTCTGTTCTGTACAAAAACACACGTTTCGACTGAATAGATTTTGTTTTTTATCGACATTTCATTTCGGTTACTAGAATATTTTCGATATTACTTTATATATTCATAATAATTCTTATTATACTATGTTTAATTATCTATATTAAATTAATTCGTCCTGAAAAACTTGTCTATGATAAATTTCGTGCACAAGGAATTACTGGTGAACCCTTTATACCATTACTTGGTCAAATTCCTGATTTACATCGTTATCGAGAAGCTGATAAATTGATGAATTATTATGGAGATCTTGTTGAAAAACATGGTCATGTTCTTCTATATAGTTTTGGTCCAGTTGTACGTTTATTAGTAAATGAACCTGATATGCTTGCTGATGTTCTCAGTCGACAAAATTCAAAAAATTATATAAAACCAGTAATAGCTACGACAATTTTTGCACCAGTTATTGGTTATCATAATTTATTAGTAGCTGAAGGTTCTGAACATGAACGAGCACGTCGAATGATAAATCCAGCATTTTATCACACAAATTTAAAATCTATGATTTCAATTATTGGTGATCGAACAAAAAAAACTATTGAGAAAATTCTTAATAAAAAAAGAGATTCTGAAGAAATTGATTTACAAAATTTATTTAATACATTAACATTATCAATTATTGTATCGAGTGCATTTGGTGCAGATTTTGAAACAAATACAAATGCAAAAGATATTATGTGTCATGTATTAGCCGAAGTACTTGATGCTGTCTTATATCGTTCATTACGTATGATTAATCAAATACCTTTTCTTTCAAAATTACCTTTTTGGAAAAAAAATATTCTTGATAATGGTGCTGAAACTATTGCAAAATTTGTTGATTAAATCATTTCTGATCGACGACAAGGACATTCAAATAGTATGTCTGATGGTCCTGATCTACTTGATTTACTTCTTTCAGCTGTTGATAACGAAGGAGAATCATTTACCAATCAAGAAATAAAAGAACATGCTCTTACATTTGTACTTGCTGGTAGTGAAACAACAGGAAATTTAATGGTATGGATATTTTATATTTTAATGACACATGAACATGTTTTAAAAGAATGTCAACAAGAAATTGATCAAGTTATTCCAAATAATAATATTGATGAATTAACTAATGAACATTTATCTAAATTAGTTATATGTGAAGCAATAATTAATGAAACATTACGTCTTTATCCATCTGCACCACTTTTTATACGTCGTTGTATACATGAACATACGATTGGGACAGAAGAAAATCAATTAAATATACCTGTTGGTACAGATATTTTTATAAATAGTTATATACTTCATCGTCGGAGTGATTTATGGCCTCGGCCACTTGAATTTGATTATACTCGTTGGTTACGTGACCCGAAAAATGATCTTAAACCAAAATTAGTTCATCCATTTGCTTATCTTCCTTTTGCTGCTGGTTCACGAAATTGTATTGGACAAAATTTTGCATTATTAGAAGCGAAAATCATGTTAGCTATGATTGTACAACAATGTGATTTTAAATTAATACCTGGACAAAAAATAATTCCAGAAGTTAAAATCACATTAAGAACTAAATATGGTTTATTAGCAAATATTACTAAACGTCAAATATAATTACAAAAAAACAACAAGAATTTTAATTTAAATAAATCTATTTGTCAATTCTTAAAAAGAAGTTATTCGTTTAATAGATTTATTTTATTCAATTCTAATACATTTTCAATATTGAATTGATAATTTTTATCATATTGGATTTGTGTTTCGTATTTTAAAGAAAATGAAATATCATACTCTGCACAAATATAAGTTGTTCATATTTTTATTTAATGTGGGTGTAGATGTTATGTTCATTTACAAATCGACACCCACGTATAATAAAATAAAAAATGAGGGAAAAAACGCTTTGTACAAGTTCATATATATTCGATGTAATTGATTGAGATAGTACCATGAAGCCACTACCATACGTTGCACTTGTTCACTCGACTATTGCCTTGACCTACTTTGCAGCCGAATACTCGATCGAATTCAACAAAATTCGAAGTAGGACCACGTACTCTAGAAACATAAATCATTTATGATAGCGCAGAATGACGTATAAATATAACTCTACCTGAATTGTGCAGGGGAATGTTGAGCCAGTACTAGATTAGAGTGCAGAGATTCATCTGTAATTTTTGTACACCATATATGACCAAAATTGAGAAGGAACATTTGTTCCGCTGAATATTTACTTAAACCGGGAAGTTTCTTCTCAACATTTTTATGGGTCTTAGCCCATTGCTGATACGCCTTAATAATATCTTTAGGTTTAAATCTTGAATTAGTGGAAGACAAAACTTACGAAGAATGCTTGTTTGAGTCCTGCATCGTCGGCGACATTTTCATTTTGTGTTTTTCGGCCGTTTATCTAAATAGAAAAGATTTTATGTTTGAATAATATCTTTATAAAAGAAAGAAATACTGAATGATTAACTTGAGTCAAAGTATAGTTGTCGTATTGTTCGTTGATACATTTTTTACGTATGTCAAATGTGTTGACAGTCGAATTAGTCCACCATAAAACTTCATTTCCATTCAGATCATATTCTTTCCTTTCATCGCCAAATCCATGTGCAATCTCATGTCCCATAATAAAGCCAATACCTAAATTCAATATCATTTTTTGTTTCTTTCGTCTCGTTGAATTTATCCTTACCACCATAGTTAAGATACCTATCAAAGATATGGAAGATGTTATAATATGAGAAAATGAAGTTTTACTTAGGTGCATCTCTGTCGAATAAAGTTGTTTGAAGTATAACAGCTGGAAACACTAAAGAGAAACGACGATATTATATATTTATTGTTAGAGACTCTTTCATACAAATCTCGTTGGCTAATAATCTATGCATGGCATTGATTTTTGTGGGTGAGATACCAGTCCATTGTTTACTATCGATAGGATAGCGAAGCATTTGAAGACTAGCTTTTGAATGTAGTTGAATGGCACTCAAAACATTCGGCATATAAGATAAATTGAAATTATACTAGATTTGAATATAAAAAGAAGAATAAGAGATTTTCATTCTATATTGTACCTCAGCATAGTCTTTATCAAGTTTCGTCATATTATCACTCTCTAAATAATCAGGATAACCAAGTTTTGCTTTCATAGCTCGAGCCTATAGAAAAAATAATTTTATTACCAATATAAAATTGATCGAATACATAACTTACTTTTTTAATCGCTATGATTTTCGATTTCGAATCCATCCATGTCGATTGATTAACCATCGTGATGAAAATATTTCGAATATTGTTGACCATTTCAATTGCCTATCAAAGTCACGACAGACAAATATTTTATCTTATCGAATTATTTTCTGTTTACTTGTTTCCGAGTATCCTTATGGAAATATTCTTCGATGTAAAGTTTTGAAATCGTCAAGCTCATCACTATATTGACATAATTGGCATATGCCAAGCTCGATCCATCCTGAAGTGCCATATCATACAGTTTTGCATGGTACGTGCTGTTTGCCGATCAATAATTGACGAAATACCATGCAGAAGTTTGGGTGCACGCACAATTACAATGTCGGCATCGATCACAGAGACGTTAGCCAATAGATACAAGCGACGAATATAGTTAGAAGAATTAAACTGAATAAAAAGATGAAGAAAGAAGAGGAGAAAGTTGACACTTACACTGACATTGATTGTATGTGAAAGATTACCGAGTGTTGTGCGAACAGTTTCGCGAGAATCTAGTTGGTTTTGCATCGTAAAGTACTATGTAAAAAAATTAAAACAGAAAGTCTACTCGAGAAAAGAAATTTACTTTGTAAAGTTCCCTCTCGAATTCTAATAACGTAGTAAGATCATTAGAGATTGTCGAGGAATCATTGGTCAATGCTTGAGTAAAATTTAGAAAGAATTGCTGGTAAGCCTCTATTGCTTTTATTCCCTTGAAATAGTGAATAAAATTGTCTTTAGCCAGTTTAGACGGTCTAATCTAAAAGTTGAATATTTATTAGTAATGATTTAAACTTTTGAGTCTTACATGAATACTTCGAATCGATGAATTCTTCTCATCAACATCTGTGTTTACAGTATAAAATATGTAGCTATTGTATTGACTTAATTTGAGCATCAATCGATCAAAATCAAATGTTGATTCATTCCAGGCTGAGCCTTGCAAGACAGGCCATCCTCCAAGCTCTTTATTGATCATTGACATTATTACATCAACACCTTCCGTTTCGATAGCACCTTCGTCTATACAAGAACTATATAAACGACGAGCATTAGTAATTGCTTTGGACTTCTTTGTTCTATTTGATGATAACAAATCTTCGAAAAACGAGATATAATATATACAACAGAAGAATAAGCTGTCGTACCGGCAATTGTATACCTTAATTTTTTTGATATTTGTGACATAGTACTCTGTTCACTACCTGTAAATGAGAAAGTATAGTAACTTATTTTTTGATTCTTCTTGCACTCACTTTCCGATAATATTATGGCATTTTTAATATATTTTCCACAAGCAAACTCATAGAATTTTTCACATGGATTGATTGTTTCATCAATACTTTCAAGCAGATAATTTGCTTAAAATAGAAAATTAATTTTTATGAGTCTGATAAAACTCACTAACCTGCTTTGATACAATACGGACGTAAACACAAATCGCTAGTATTTTCAACTAAAAATATTACTGAATCAAATTTACATAGAATTCATATATACTTACCTGCTGTTCCTTTATATCGACCTTTTATTTTGTTTATTTCGATGCTGGATAGAACGATTATTGCGATAAGAAAAATCAATAACAGAATGATAATTATACCAAAGAATCGATATGATAGTCTGAAATGATAATAGATGTTATAAATCCATTCGAAATATCAACATGCTCTATTCTTTCATATCAAACCTACCTTCGATGTAAAGGAGTATATAAAGTGTTTGCTTCTGAATGGGTCTGCATCGATATATTTTTTTGTTAAATTAACGAGTAAATCAGTATATATTATATAGAAGTTTTAGACAAAAATGCAATCTTCCCATCAAATGCATAGCGTATCGAGTGAGAATATACAGATATTTCTCTTATCAGAGGCCTACGTGAGATAAGAGAACAAGAAAAATCTTCTCATGGGGAATTGAATAATTGTAAAATTTGTCGTTCTAATCTTTCTGTTTTATAATACATTATAACTGTTTTTGTCGAATAACAATAAGTATACAATGATGAAAAAAATAATGTGTCTTATCTCTCTTCATCCATGTGGCAGAAAAATGACGAAGAGCGAATTTTTTATGTTTTTGAAAGATAAAAAAAGTGGTGTTGTCAAGAAATCTGAAAAAACAAAAATCTGAAGAGTAAAAATTTATTCCCTTGACTGAAAGGAGGGTTATATGAAAAAAATACATTATACGTTAATGGACGCAGAGCAAGAGAGCGGATAATATAAAGGAAATCAGGGGTGTATGAACAAAAAGCATATGAATAGCTATTTATTCGAACTCTATTCAAAGACACAGACAAAGAAAAAACGTATCGACAACTTCCGGATTTCTTGATATATTCAAAAAAGCGTACCTTAATAATGATTTCTTTCGAATATTTTCTCGCTCATGAAAAATTTCTGAAGAATAAAGATGATGAAAGAGTATTAGAATAGTTACACATTCACATCTTATCATAACAATTTATTATCAATAGATATTTATGATTATTCTTAGAAACACAAGTAACGCTCGTTCTCGTAGAAATTGCCTTGCCAAACAACAACGAAGCGATTGATTTATATAATCAAATAAAACAGAAGTCAGATTTGAATTCTTTGTCTTCGATTACCCTTCGGTCAACCCTTGAAAAATAAGTGGTCCTTTGTGTAAAAAAACGATCCTCAAAAAAATTCCTTTTACGTCTTCACCTAGTTCTTCGATGAATTATTAAGGTGCGGATACACAATCAGACAATTTATGTTTACTGGATTCTTCTCTAGGAGAAAGAGAACATATTAATAAATATTTCAGATATAGTTTATTTAAGAACAAAAAAATAAACAAAATTCTTACAAATTTCCTTCTTCTGTAAAGTAATGTAAAGTAATATAATGTAATGTAATATAATGAGTGAGTGAAAGAAATGCGACTTTGAATAAAGCAAATAACTCTTCTTTTACTCGAAAATGAAAATCTCTTTTTATACATTAAAATAATCTATACAATAAAAGAGAAAAATGAAAATAAAATATTCAAATTCGTGTACATTTGTACTCGAATTATTAAAATATACAAAAGATTCTATCATATCTCAATGTACAATATGAAGAAGTCACATGAGAATATACGTAATTCTCATGAACAATAGAAGAAGACGAAGAAGAAGGAAAAATGAAAGATTGACTTAGATATATATATATGACGAATGAGAAAATAAACTCTATCGACATCTATGTACAAATTATAGTTCGAATATTAATGTTAAATAGAACGCATTAAATAATTGAATTCAATTTCATCAAGTTGCATATCATGATTCATATCAGCAAAATAAAACATTGCACCAGCAGGATCATATTGTTTCCATTTCTGTGCATTATCTGGTGCACCATATGCAACATCGATTCCAAGAGGATATGAATGTTCATTTATAATATGAAGACCAGCTGAATATTGTTCATATTTATATGGATCTTCTACAAAACCATACCAAGCAACATCAAGACCAATTTCATAAGTATAAGATTCAATAACAGGTGTATTCTTAATAGAAATAGAAATAAATTTCAATTTCAATATATATTTATTCATTTTAACTTACATTGAATGCTTCTTCATCTTCTTTAGTAAATGTTCCAGGTTGTGTTTGTTTAATAGGTCCACAGAATGATCGAAATTCTTGTTGATCTACTTTTCCATTACGATTTGTATCAGCACGACGAAATTGAGCACTATAATCCATTGATGTTTGATTTATGATTTTGGTTTTGATGTTGCTTTGAATAGATGATTTTGCTTTTGATTTTATTTCAAGAAATTTTTCTCAGTATATATATGAAGAAATATTGAGCAGAAAAACATATTTTTTTATTTTTTGTTTTTTTTTATGTAATCAATCAAAATAAGATCTTTTACATTCAGAACTCATATATATTCAAAAACATGTTTTTAGTTAAATATCATCGAATCATAAGATCTAATTTTTCAGGAAAAAGAAACACTCGATGCATATTACAACTTTGATAGTATATTATATAAAAATGTTTTCCTTATTAAATAACATATCATATTTGTGTGTCAAATCGTAATTGAACTTGAGAAAACAACTCTATATGATATTAGGACAAATGCCATGTCATCAAAATATATATTTGTTTTTCTATCAAGACAAATTAAATTGTGTAACGATATATCAAATAGAAAAACAAAATATATGACTTTTTACTTTTCTCTAGTCAAAAGGTGAAAAGAGAAAAATGCTTCTTCTCCTTCGTCTTGCAACACTTATCAATCAAATAGAAGTCACTTTTTTTGTTTGTAAGTTAATGGGTATTTTCAATTAGATATTCAGATTTTCTTCAATTAATTTTCTTTTCTTTTTACATACGAATGGGAATTTTTTGCACAGCTTTCAATAGGAACAAGATGGAGAGCTGCTGTTTTCACCATTGACAGGGGGTGATGGAGACGCATCGAAACTTATTTTTTCATAGTTTTGTATGTCTTTTTCGAATGCTTTAGACAGTCAATAAATTTATATGCCGTTGATGAGGTACATATTGTTCCTATCGAAACCTATTCAAAAAATACCCACGTGCCTTTTATTTAGAAATAGGTAGTAGATGAAAATACAATAGAGACCGTATATTTACATTCACATCGTTAATGCTCTACGTCACTTAAATATAGAGAGAAAATAAGAAATATTTGGAATGGGTCCACATTGAGAACTGCAATGGTCATAGTTGAAAAGAAGAAATGAAGATACATTTTGAAAGTATGGATAACAAATGCAATACTCTTACTAATTTTTATTTTTCAATCAAATTAAAATATCAATTCCATTATTCATTATATTATAGAAATCATAGAATATACAAATATTCAAAAAAAAAATTATTATTGAGAAAATTCCATCTAAATTAGATAGTAAAATAAATAATTAATTTTTTTGATTTAATAATAATAATAATAGTTAATTTAACTAGATTAAGTTAAATTAAATATTTCGTTTATCAAAAAATTTCATCATTCATTTTGAATATTTTTCAAATAAGATTATTTTGGAAATATTTGATTCCTTTAATTGTTATCATGTTTATGCAAGATGAATGTGAATGTGAATAAAGATAGAAATTAAATAAAAGAATTATATCTCACATTAGATATATTATTAACAGAAACGAATAATAGAGACAATTAGAAAAAAGTGTCGTATATAATATTCACACAATAGTAACATTTTAATATTCTTCTTTTTCACTTTTAATGACGATTTCGGTTGTTCCGATACTTGATGTACATAATAACACCTGCAATGATAGAGACAGCAAGTATACCACTTCCCACTAGAAGATAAATCAAGCCAGGTTTTGTATTAGGTTTATCCCATTGAGCAGTTTTTTCACTTTCTCGTTTGTGATGATAACAAGTGTGTTTCGAACCGCTCTATGAGAACAAATAATGATAATATATATCCATAGGATGAATAAAAATTCTCATTTGATAATACTTACGGGATACATCTCAAGTTCATTCATGGCTTTAGCGTATTTGTCTGAAGTATCTCCTGTGATTCGAGCAATGGTTTGATTACTGCTCATTACAGTTATGTCATCCTTGTATTCAACAGTCCATACAGGTGCATGACACACATATTTAGTACATGAGTGTGGAATTGCTTTTGCATCGATTACCAAACATATATTCTCGACAAAATTAATTTCTTTGTGACGTTCTGTACCAAAGTCAATACTACCTGATATTCCTATACACACACCAATGCATACAAGACAAGCGACACATACAAACGTAGTCGTTATGATCCTCCTGTAATCAGAAAGAAAAAAAATTCTATGTCTAATATTTATATAATCATAATTGCTTATATATGATCCTCAAATTTCGTATTTAAAATGTGAAATAATACAACACTATTTTAGTTTTAAACAAAAATTTCATGTCACCCGTGTCTTCATAAGAAATATCTGTTTTCCAACAGAATCTCATGTATATATGAATAATACACACATTGAAGTTTTATTTGCTTTTTTATAAGAAAGCATCATTGGAGAGAAAGAAAAGTAAAGGTACTCAGTGTCTGCTTATTAGTCGCTGGAAAATACTATCCTGAAGATAAGGATCTGAGGAGTTATGTTAACAAGAGTGCGATTGAGAGCATAAAAAAATACCTACGTGTTTGCTCTATTGTTCCAATGATTTTGATTTTGATTTCTACTACTGTGATGGATTTCATCCATTCCTACCTCTTCCATATTCTTGAGCGAATGCCCACTGTACATACACACATACATCGGTCACTTCCCATCATTTAGCCTTTCTTTATTTCTGCTCTCGCCTTCTTTCTTGACCGTTTGACCTCGGTGATGATAGATATAGTTGTTCATTGGCCAATCATCAATTTCGGCTAAGTAAAATACGAACGATCAGTTGTTGCGTTACAACTACCTCGTTGATAAAAAGATTTGTATAACAAAACCGAAGTTTATTTTGTTTTATTTTCAATAATTTCAATTATTTAAAGTGAACGAGAAGTTAAATCTGTATTAATTAAAAGACAGTATCAAATGAATTTTTATTTTTGAATTGAACGATAGTATATTCTTCTAACACTAATTCATATTCACTACCTGATCGAAAATCATCATGAGTACAATGATTCCTATCTATTTTGAAATCAATATTTATTGTTTTATAATTCAGTGAATAAGAATAATTAGATAAAATGTTATTAACAGGTGGTAGCTATTTATATGTAAGAGTGTGGGTGTAGATGTGGATATTATATTAATCATATACCCTCATCCAAACCTACATACTCAAATTGTTATAATTAAAGACATTAATGAAGAAATTTGAATATTATTTAAATTTATTAATTATTGTCTCTTTTTTTGTTCTTCATAGATTTAATATGATTTTTTAACCGAATAATAAACATGTTTTCAAGAGAGGGTTTTTTTATTATTATTAACAAAACACGTGTAATGATAACAGCGTTGAAAAATTAGAGAGCGAAGGTGTAGATAAATAAAAGATTGATATTCATATCATCACTCTCACTTTCACAGAATCAAGTACGGTATTCATACTGATTCTTATTTTTCAATCAAATTAAAATTTTAATTCCATCATTTATTATATTATAGAAATCATAGAATATACAAACATTTAAAAAAATAAAATAATTATTATTCAGAAAAGTACATCTTTATTAGATAGTAAAATGAATATTCAATTTTTTTCCTAATAATAATAATAGTTGATTTAACTAGATTAAGTTA